CCATTGTTTTATCTTTTTGTTCAATGACATTTTGATAAAGGAAGAGATAAGATTACGGCTATAAATAAGATTAGAATCGATACCAAAGCAATGGGTAATTGTTTACATCGTCGAATCTTTGATTATCTTAAAGCTTCCACGCGTAGAAATAATACTCAAAAGTGTTAACCTTTTTCTATTTTCTGATGCCATGAAAGCTATGGTTAAAGACAGAAATGCAAATGCAGTTTCTGCATGGGAATCAATACACAAAATACGAAGTGATATAACCCTGAATTGGGAGGCAGAAAGTTTAGAAAACTATGAACCTTTCAAAGATTTTATACGCCGTAGTGTTTTGACATAAAGGGGTAGAACGTGCATGAATATCAGAATGCACTAAGACGTTGGTGACTGCCTAGTCCTCTGCTTTTGGAAAAGCATATAAAAAGAATGCCACTCTATTTGATTATTTAACGGTCGGCTGGATTTGTATTTTCCTTATAGTCTTAGTTCTCTATCTAAATACCCCTTACACGTGGCAAGCTTTCATTAACTCCAAGATTTCTTGTTAGCAGTTGAGTTGATACCTCCTTCATCGGTTGCCTTACACCGTAACGTTGCTAATTTGAGTATCAGAAATTTTTTTGCTAAATTTATCTTCAGTTCACACACCAATGAACTGTTCTTTTCCTTTTCAGGTGCGCAAGTTAGTTAGTTCGGACGTTACCCGTTAGATCTGATTTTCATATTATCATTATTTACATGCAAAACTCTTCATCAGTTACTCCCAAAAATTTTAGATATTTAAAGATTCAAAATTATATCATTTTAACAATTTTTTATGAAAAATGACTAAACTAGCCTAAATGAGAAAAAGATTCAAAAAGAACTATTTTAATCTTTTCTTGTGGGTGTTTATTGAAGCAAACATAGGTTTAAGCCTTTAGATTCTTAATTTTTTAGGAAGATGGACGGCCATGGCCCTCAATGTATATTGTATTGCATGATGACGACTTAGAGGCAAAAACAAAATAATAAGTAGATGAAATTCCAAGTGGTTAAGAATATGAAAATTTTAAATTTGAAATCGTTAAGGTGATTGAGTGAGGAGGAACCATCCACTGTTATGATACACCATCCATTGTTATTGTTCACAAACATAGTGGTGTACTTAGGAATTGCATTGTCTGAAAAAGATAAGCATTTTGGGGAGAGAACCACCTTAGCCACTTGTGTTGCTTTTGAACTGCCGCACAAAATCGGGCAGTCCTTCACGTTGGGATAAACTGATTTCCTAAATAAAAGCCAAAAAAATGATGTAAGGCAGCGAGCAAAGCAATTGGAATTCCATTCACAGAGGGAAGAGAAAGATTAGACAACTGCAGAGCAACTTTTGCAGTTTTTGATGGACAACTAGCTAGGGAGCAAGTTGCTTCAATGAATCAACAGCATTTAATTAAAATAAAACAAGGCTGCCATCATCCTCTTGGAGAAGATAAATGTTCTTGACTAATTGGATGCATAAAAACGTGCCACTAATTCACAATTGAAGCTGATACACTCGCAATAAAAGCCCACAACAGACACGATATTAAACGGACCAATCACAGTCAAAATAGATTTACAACCACATAACATCGTGACTCATTACGGATGAATCATTTTCCATTAACAATCTACCCAGTACACATGGGGAAAATGTCGATGCATGGAATAGGAAGACAAACTACATAATCCACTAAGCAACCTCTCATTTTAAATGAAAAGTAATAATCCACTGCATTTAAATAAGTATTTGCTAACACTGAATACGCTACAACCAAAGATCAGAACATAGCTCTAATATAATTGCAGTAACAGTTTCCACTTTAAGGAAAAAAACAGGACTTTGATCTCTGTCGCAAAGCAAGCTCTGATAATTTAACATCACATTATTCTTCAGATCCTTTCATCACAATCATTCCTCCGCTGGAGGTGACGAACTGCATTCTGAATAAGAATATAGTGTATGAAAACGTAAATCAATCATATCAACTTTTAGGTATGATGAATGGTTAAGTTTAGCAGGAAAACATAAAATTAAACAGACCTGTGGAATCTCTCATTTGGAGGGCTCTCAGCTCCACCACCATAAGGGCTATCCCTTGGCTCAGGCACAGAACTTGGACTGGGGCCATTACCATTTTCAGGACTGGTTCTCTCTCTTTCATATGGACTATGACTACGCCCCTGACCATTTTCCCGGATAGCTCTTTCTTTTCCAAAGGGACTACGACTAAGGCTACGATCATTCTCAGTGCTATGCTTCTCTCTCCTGTAAGGACTACGACTACGAACATGGTCATTCCCTGGGCTACCTCTCTCTCTTTGAAGTGGACTCAGACTGGAACCATGAGCATGGTCAGCAGCAGACCTCTCTTTTCGGTATGGACTACGGCTAGTTCCCCGGCCATGGTCAGGGCTAACCCTATCTCTCCTATACGGACTGGGGCTGCGGTCACGACCATAATCAGGACTACCCCTCTCTCTCCGGTAAGGGCTACGAGTTGGACCTTGGCCATAATCAGGGCTACCCCTCTCTCTTTGATAAGGACTTGGAGATCGCCTTCTATCACGGCCTCTCTCTAGTGATCTATCACGACCTCTGTCAGGGCTATGTCCATTTCTGCGCTCATCATCATCTCGAACTGCATATTCCACCGATATAACTCTATCCATCAGCTTGCTTTACATGAAAGAGAATCCAAGATCATATCTTAAAACCAGTTATCAAGGACTTGCAGAATAAAAAATTCAGGGAAGAGTTCAAAGGTATAGAAAAACGAGCAACAGATCTACCTCATGTTTGTAGCATCCAATGCCCTGGTGGCATCCTCTTGCGAATCATATTGAACAAATGCAAAATTCCTTCTTATCCTCACACTGACAATCTTTCCATATGGCTCAAAATGCCTCTCCAAGTCTTTTGTACGGGTGTGATATGGATCAAAATTGATAACAAACAAAGTCTTTGAAGGTCTAGTATTGACTGAAGACCTTCTTGAAGAACCTCCACTAGGCCTTCTAATGCCTCCACGTTCATGCTACAACACAAAAGAAAAGAGCTTATGTAAGATATAAAATCTGAAAAGGAGAATAATAACAAGAACTACATACAAACTACCAGTAGAATGATTACCTTTGTCCACTCAACACGAAGTCTGCGACCCTTCCTACCAAATTCCGTCCGATCAAGTGCTCGGATGGCATCCTCAGCATCCCTCTCATCTTCCATGTATACAAAAGCAAATCCTAGAAAACACAGTATTGCATGGCTTACTATGACACTCATAAATATTATATAAAAGAAAAAGGAAAAGGTAAGAATCCTCCCGCAAAAGGAATATCCAACAAGATTCAGCATTTTCCCCTTCAGCAAGATACAGTTCACCAAAAAACCTACC